TTTGTAGTATTTTGATAATAAAATTTGAAGTTTTTATCTGTTTTGAATGTATTATATATCAAATTGAAGCTCTGGTTGAGCTTAATTTTTTTCTATTAATAAGCAAGAAGTGTTTACTTAATAAAATTTAAGTAAAGGTAAAAATAAATAATTTATAAATATAGTTATAACTTAGTAACAAAGAGCTTTAGAGCTATAATACTAGGCCACCTAGAAGTAAAATTAAGTGTAGAACAACTTTACTTAGGCAGCCAAGAGTAGTTTACTTAATAAAATTTTGAGTAAATAGCAATTGTTTTCAAGAAGAATTTGGTACAAGTGATTGTTGGGAGGAGTTAGTGATTTGCATCTTCTTATTTTTTATTTATATATAAATCTACTTATATAATTATACTTAATCATATCTCTATATTCTTTATTTATATATAAATATACGTATATTATTATACTTGGTTATATTTTTATATTCTTTATTTATAAATATATTTATTTATTTAAATTAGCTATATATTTGATAAGGTTAGTTATAGATTTGTATCAAGATAATATTAAATTTTAACTACCTATTATATTTTGTATAACCATCTAAATGTAACAAAATGCTCTTAATTTTTTATTTATAAACTAATTTAAGACTAGCTATTATTAGTTATAGAAGAAAAAAAAGAAAACCTAACTCTATTTATATATAAACCTATTCATACTATAATATTTGATCATGTCTTCATAATTTCTATTTGTATATAAATCTACTTACACTATTATATTTGGTGATTTGTTTTAAAGTTAATAAACTAATAATTAAGAATTTAAGAAAAAGATAGATTACTTTTAGAAACTTATTGTTATACTTTTGTTTAAAAAATAAAACTTATTATATTTAGAAATATACTTATTAATTAATAAATTTAAATAAAAATTATGATATAGGATATGATTTAAATATATTAAGCTATAAGGTGAATAGATGAGAGCATGAGTTTGATAAAATAAATTTTGATGGGCTAATATTATCAAGTTCTTCTTCAATTCAAAAAGACCTAATAAAAGCATTAAGGCATAAAATATTGGATATAAATTCTATAAATATAGATAGTTTAGCTTCAGAGAAGATATATATTACTTAATTAATTTCATTAAATTAATTTTGTTAATTAACTTGTGTTAATTTATTTATTATTTATTTTTATTCATAATTTGTAATCAGAAACATGGTCTTTTAGGTGAAATCAAGCTTTTAAACAATAATATTTATATTTAACATATTTACAATTCAACTGTGTCTATATATTTTCTATTTACATATAAATCTACTTTTATAGTAAAGAAATGTATATGACGAATTTAGTAAGGGACATCAATCTAGAGCTCTAAAACAATAAACAAGAAATTGTGTTAGTATTACAATGAAAAAAATATATATAATATCAACAGATGCAGGATGACATCGAAATAACTGATGTGTTATGTGAGTCAGGTTAGATCGTATAGAAATAAGTCAGAAATAGATAAATATGTAATGCATGAATTGGATAAATAATATGCAAATTAATAATCAGTATATAAATAATGTTATAATAGAGTTTATAGAAAATGTTATGATTGGTAGTAAGTTTATTAAAAGTTAAAAATGGCATGATTAGCAATGAGTTAATTAAAAAGTCAAAATATATATAATCAAAATATGATATAATTTGTTAGTAGTTAAAAATTTGTATTTATAAGCAAGCCAAATAAAAAATTAGTCAGTGCTTTTAACTTCGAAAAAAAATAGCGTTTAATTTGAAATTAATAAAATCCTCATCTGATTGTATACGTAAGGTGTTGTAGTGGTCATTAGCTGTGAGGTTCATACCGTCAAAGCTAGATTTAAGTGACAAAAGTCACCTATTAACTCATGATATAAGAACCTGGGTATTCTAATTGGTTATCTCATTAAGAATATTGAAAATTCTGTTAAATCAGCAAAAACGCAAAATAAAGTAATACTCAAATGAAGTAAAAGATCTCTAGTACTCAAGTGTTAACATTTTTCATAAATTGACGGGAAATTATTATTTCTTATATATTAATTTATGCTCTTCACCGCGGTTATTCGTATTACCTACATTAAAAAGTAGATGTTACATTTCTTATAACATTTTTCATAAATGGACCTGTTCAAATAGGGAAATTATTATTTCTTATATTTTAATTTATGCTCTTCACCGCGGTAATTGGTATACGTATTAACTTTGCAAATCAAATGTACCTAAATTGGTTTTTAATAAAAAACGAAATAAATTATTTGAATTAATACTTACTTTATTTTTATGTTCACACACCCAAAAAACTCCAGGTTGGAGCTAATGATGCCCGATGAAAATTTTTGGCACTGACGAAAATGGTTTTGTCTGATGAAACTTGACGATAAGACGTAACTACTGACGATTGACGAAACTACTGACAATTGAAAAAACTTTTGATGAAATTAATTTGACAAATAAACGTGTAACTGTCTTTCAACAAGCTCCTCTATACAGTAGCACCTCTGGATATCGAAATTTTAAATTTCTGTTAATATAAATTCATTGGGTAATGTCGGATGGTGTTTTGTTGTACAACGTATTGTATACTCATAGACCGACATTCGTTTGATTGGCTGCATAAATCAATTACCTGGTAATGCCGGGGTAACCTTCTAAACCTAACTTAGTGTCACAATATTCAAACAAAATTCTTTTACAGAGAATCAAGGCATCTTGATTTTTTCTGTATAATTCAAAGGTTTATTTTTTTTCAGCAAATTCGAGCCAGTTATTGAACGAATTAATGATGCTATCCATAAATTCATGATTAATACTAGAAGAGATAAATAACTTCAAGAAAGAATCCTCTCGTTTAGCAAAGAATGATATCATTTGTTCATGCTAAGATAAAATTTTGCCCAAATTTTTAAACACTTCGCTTCGGAATTTTTAAAGGACTTGAAGTATTCTTTAGGAGAACTCCAACCAAATTCAAAACAATCTATACTAATCATGTTGCACATGTCTAGAAGTTGTGTATGTTTAGAAAGAAAGGTAAAGCTGGAGCTATTATTTTATATACAAAAAATAAGTTATTAAAATCAGCAATTTTTATCAATCTTTAGCGATTTTCAATTTGCAAATTACTGAAAGTTACTGAAAATTACTGAACAGCGAATTCAACAATCATGGAAAATTGGGCCGGTATTCCTGCTCTGCAATGCTTTCCATCCCAAAACCCATTGGAAAGCAAATTAAACATTCCCGTTCATATATTCAAAAACGTTTTTTAGTAAATTTTATCATATAAAAGAATTGTAGTGAACCGTATTTTTACATATGGGGCAGTAAGTATAATTCCACATTATAATGAGAAATATAAAGGCAACAAAACAATAGAAACGATCGAATATGAATCGATCTCGTTTTTATATACAATATACAAGATATTAGCCAAGGTTTTACAATTCTACAAACTTATAGATTTTAGTTTTTCATGATAGGTTAAAAATATTTTAAGTTGTCAAGATAATAAATTGATAAAAATAAAAAAAAAAAACATGAAAGGGACCTACACGATCAATTGATATTTTCTATGATAGAATCTAACGATGAATACACGGAAGCGCTTATATCCAGCAACCAAAATTAATTTTAATCATAATATTCCCAATGAATGTCATCATCGTAATCAGACCCTGTATCGGTACCTAGTTCAATCGAATCAGTTTGATATTTGACATCTCGTTTAGTATGACAATTAATACGTTTACCTTTTCTACGAAAAGCTATTAAAAATTATTTGGATTAAGACCTAAGTGTAATATGAAATATCGATATATATATCAGTATATTGTACTTACAATTTCGTTTTGAAGGTATCTTATTTGTTTTTTCTTTTTGAAACACTTTTGTTAAGTTATTTTTTTGTGAAATCTGTTTATCATGCATGGCGATTCCTCAGAGTTACCACTTCAATTTTATTCTACTTAAGTTTTAAAGGATGAGAATTCAGAGCAATAAGTATTAATATAATTATCATTTGAATATGACGTATTTAACTATCACTGTTAAATCTTTAATTTATTAGATAAAGTGCTGATATCTTAATAGTCAATTATATTGTTAAATTGTAATGATTTAATTTTAAATTTTTTTATATTTATGTATCTTAATTTATTAACTTTCGAAGCGAACGTAAATTTTGTCTATCTCATTTTCGTCATATTAAATTTATTAATATAAAAGTTTATTCGTTGTATTAATTAACATATAACTTATTGATTTATATGATTATATATTGATTTAATATAATACGTCGACGATCACGGGACCATGACATTTTTGTAAGCTGTAAATTGATAGATTTAGAGTACAATTTATATTAATAGTAGAATTCCAATTGGGATTTCTTACTTGAAATTTATTCCTGAAAAATTGGATATTAATTATTGTTAAAAACCAATGAATAATAAGTTCATTCTTCGACAGCAGCTAGAGGCAACCACACTAGCAACACCAAAAATCAGATCCGGGTAGGGTTATTAAACGTCGATTTGTTAATATATTAATAATTTATTTAGTTTTAAACCACAAAGTAACGAAAAGTTATTGTATATAAGAGATGCTTCCTGGAGTGTTTGGAAAGAAGTAGAATAAGTAATATAATAAAATATTGATAAAATATCGGCCCTAAAATAAAATAAAATTATAACTATTCATTAAACCCACGCAATTTATATGTATAAAACAGGAGACGAATGCCAATATTATTGCATCCATTATTATACTATAAGGTTTATTGCCAGTAGAAGGTATTTGAACTATGTTCGGGTTAAAATTTTTCTCAACCATACTTAGCCATTTTTTTGCTGAGGAAGAGTTGATGATTTTTCAATAAATTTCACCACCTAAAAAGGACAAAAATTTACATATTAATAAATTATTTAAAGCAACAAATTTAAATTCGCATTCTTTATCTGAATTGTATTTATCTAAATTTAGATTATCTCCAGCATCTTCATAATCATAAAAGATAAATTGTTTTTGATTAGCTCCCAAACTGTTTGTTGAGCTTCACAAATAAATGGATATAACAAGAGTTTCATAAATCATGGTTGCAATATCTTCTACATCTATTGCATTTTCTTTCGTATCGGACAAAATGTTGGCAGCTAATTTATGTCAGTAAATTACATAACTTAAATGAAATTTAAAAACCCATGTAATTTTACATAAGTTTCAGAGAATTAGCATAATTTTGGTAGAATTTTTTGGCAGGATTAGTTCGTAACTCTGGTTAACACAATTTTGATAGAATTAATTCGTAACTCC